ACGAAGGACCCTGAGACACCATTTAGTGTCCAACCTCTTCATTTTATTCCATTTAAATCGTTCTTAATGGCACATGATGACAAATCAAATAATATAGATTAGCTTATGATAAAAAAAGACATTTTCCTTGGCTCCCCTGCACCTCTCCCCACCTGCACCCCAGTCCCCAAGGCAACCTGTTGTAATCATTTGGATTTCAAGTTCTCCTAGGTATCTCCATCATGCTTAATAATCTCAGGCGGGCCCCTATTTCATAATTAGCCACTGTAGGCAATAACTTATCTACACCCTAGTTGGAAAGATGAGCTATCCCCTGCATCTCTCCCCACTCTTCCTCTCAATATTTGATTATATTACTTATTACTTACTCTGTTGTCTTCCCTTGTACTAAGAGATCATATACTTATACCTCTATTGCTTTTTTTTGGTAACATTATTTAGTAGTCTGATTTCTTTCCAGAAGATGAGGAAATTAACACTCCTGACACTTTCATTCCTACCTCATGTCAGCTATGCTTTTACTTTACATCATCACAACTATATTTTTTGTAACATTTGAATTTTGTCCTGCACCTGTGATTTATCGAGTGTAGCCTAAAAAAAAACAAAACAAAAAACATACATTATTTACATTATTAAACCTATGCAAATATTGTTCCTTGCTGAAACAAGTGACATGCTAGGATTTCATTTCTTTCCCTCTGATCCCAGCATCAAGACCCCAAAAGCTGCTTATTTTGAAGTTAAGAAGGATTAATTACTTTCAGAGGTTTTTTTTCCCAAATTAATTTTTAAAGTAAAATATGTTCAGTGTAAAAAGTGCAGTAAATATATACAAGTAGGAGAAAAACAGGGAGGAAGGGAGACACCGACAGAAAATAAAAAACACATGAAAATCCCATGACCTAGAGCATTTCTTAATGTTTCACATAGCTCATACAGAATAATCAGTGACACCAAAGAAGAAATACGTCCCTTAATGATAAGAGGAAACATTTAGGCCTGTGTAAGAAAACACAAAATAGGAGATTCTGTCCTAAGTTTCAGCTCCGTTACACACCACAGACATTAGACTTTTATTGCACACATGGGCATTTACTATCTATTAGGGACAGTGCTCACTATTGGGAATAAAATATGGTAAAAACAGACATTGCGCCTACCTTCATAAAGGTTCCATTCTAGTCGGGGAGGTAGACATCAGATAGTAACATTTGGCATGACTAATATAGAGTGAGTTCAAATGCTGAAAAGGACAAGAACTGGGCTCCTTGAGGACACAAAACAAAGGAACCTTTGTGGTCAGGGAGGCATTGAGGGGGTCCTGGAAGTCTTCCTTGTAGGAATGATGCTTGAATTGAGATTTGAAAGAAGAGTGGGAATTTACTAAGCAAAGGGGGTAGGGGAAAGAGATAGGTTCGGGACCCTTCCAGAGAGAGCACGAAAATCTGTGATGGGTGCACAGATGGTGCATTCAAATAACAAAAAGCTGCCCTGGCTGGAGCAGAAAGAGCCAGGAGGGCAAGGGGAGAAGAAACCCACTCTGCATGTCATAGGCCAGTGGCTGGATGAGTCAGTCCCTGGGCAAAT